CAGTGAGGGTTCTTTTTTATGCTAACATCTACTGCGACAGGGGACCTCGGTTTAAACTGTCTCATCCGAAAGACCGGTCTCCACGTCCCACAGTGCGATTCGAACCCGAGGATTCAAAATTATTTAACAAAATGACTGTTTCTTAGAACAGCCTAAAAATCAGGGTTGGTAGATTGGGACTCTTTTTCACATAGTTTGTAAATGCTTAATTTTAGCTAATAACGTTTACATTTATTACTTTCCCCAATTTAAACGGCTTTGAAATAAAGTCAAAAGGAATGCTAACCTATATTCTTGTGAAACTATTGTTAAAAACATTACAAAGATGTTTAGTGATTACATTTAAAAAAAAAAACAATGTACAAACAAGTATTTAAAATGAATGAAACATATTTTCACATGAATTAAATATTATATGCACATGACATCATTTGGGCCATCTACTCAGTTTATTTAAACATAACCTTATACTGTTGTAAAAGTTCACTGAAAGGCTGCTTGCCCCATACTCCCCTTTCCCCACACTTTTTGTTGCAATATAGAAATATCATCCATATCCTCCCCGATTAAGTTTTTCGAAAAGAATCAAACAGTTAAAAATCTTCCTTCTTATCTCAAAATAAGATTTTCGAGTTTGGACACTCGTCAAAGTTTGTTCAGGTTAGTTTTTTGTAACTTAGAAGCTCCCCACCCCCCTCTTCCTTTAAAAACAGTCCTTCTGCTTGTAATAGCTGAGAAAAAATGTTACATTTCACTATTTGTTCTGTGACATTAATGAAGCTAAAAACATAACATTTCAGGCTTTCTGGAAAGCCAGACTTGTAGGGTTATTAAACTGATATTGGTGACTATTGGCACGAGTTGGCTGTACAGATGCACGAACTAATGTACACGAGTACATTTGTACAGCAAACGAGTGCCAATATTTACCAATATAAGTTCAATAAGATTTAAGATTTTAATTTTCATACTTCTTATGCTTCAATGTCATTTTAAAGAAGGTAATTTGTGTTATTTCTCCATGTGCACTTTCTAAAACAACAATTATTAAAGTTTACAATCAAATGCCCGAATAAATGATTTTGTGGGTAAAAACAATATTTAGGGAAATCATATTTTGCTGGAAAAATAAGTTATTTTTTCCAGGAGCTTCGGGGGTTTTACCCCCTGGGCTCTGATCGACTAAATTAAGGCTTTGCCATTGACCCACTATACAGGCCTGACTGCGGCTTCAAACCAGACGCCCTGTCGCTTTCTGCGTACTCGTTTTCTTTCTGGCTACCCGCCTGTTCTGATAAATAATACTTCTATCTCAAATTCTAATTCTGCTGTTGAAAAGAACCAAGGAAATTCTTCCTGTTTTCTCTCTGAAATAAACAGCAATAAATTAGCTGAAAATCTTTTCTCCACTTCCCCAATTGCACAAAGATCGAATTATACGTCACCAGTTTCATTGTAGTCTGGTATTTAGAGTTAAGTGATATGGCTGTCCTATATATTGGGACATGTGAGAATTGATCTAGAATGTCACAGATTTTTGATTCATACATGAAAAGAAACACTTTTAAAATTACGTTCAAAGATCCATTGATAAACGTAACTAAATCTTTTTCGTACAAGCTCACAATCTTTATTCTATATTTTGAGGACTGAAAAGAAAAATCACGTATTAAAATAAAATTGATAATTTTTCTATAATTACCAGCTGTTAATGACAGTATTGTAAAATGTGTTAAAACAACACCATCGCTGATATAAGCTTCTTACAGAATTCCACCACGTCTCTGAAAGTTTATTTTTGTCAGCAGTTTGAACATGCTAAATTTCAATTATTTAGTGACTTATTTAAAGCCCCCCTTTATAACCTGAAAACTAATAAGAAGCATTGTCCTATGAACCTGGCCTCAACCATACTTGAAATAAAAACAACATTTAATTGTGTTTGGCGTGCTTGTCATGACCTTTTATTATATGTACACTGTAATATGTATTAAATTCACAAATATATGCGCCGATTACAATAATATGGCAGCATAAATATAGATGAGACAGCAATAGAAATACCATCTGGATCCAAGGAGACTGGAGACAACAGTACCCCCCGGAGACGGAATTCTATGCAAAATTATGCCAAATGGTACATATGACGAAGTTGAATGTACCATCCGCCATAAAAAAAAAAAAATACAAAAAAAAAAAAAAAAAAAAAAAAAAAAAAAAAAGGCGGCAATTTTGCCCCTTCCACAAATTGAAATATTCAAGACAATCAACATACTTGCGCAAATTGCGCACAAAAAGGTGAAATTCACCGACATTGCATACTATAAACTTAAATTGGCTCGTTTAAACAATCGTGCACAATAAGTGCCAAATTATTAATGACCTAGTTAATAAGTAGAAACTACTGTATATTCGTCAGGTGCGCATATGATTCAATTCAAAATTATTTCAATCAACTTATATGAACAACACATATATGGATAGACATAACCATGACAAGCACAATCAATTCACAGAAAGGTCCTGTTTTGAAATTTACAAGATAAAAATTGCTTCAACGCACCCTTCACAGTATTCATAAACAACTCATTGCCTAAATCTGTCATGTGAACACCATCTGTGCGGAACAAATTCCTTTGATTAGCCGATATATCTGGGTATCTAATAGCTGCTCCACCTAATTTATTTAATACAAAAGATGCTATTGAACTGTTGATTCTCCGCCTACATTTTTCTCCTTCTAAGGTAGCTACACCATTTGACCAGTTTCTACGTTGCAAGATATGAGACCAAATAATTAATGATGCAGTTTGGTAATCGCTCTTTAATTTTTGCTAAATTAGCCTTTATCATCATTTGTATACCTCTCAAAGTGTTGTGTTGTTGTCCAATGTTGTTCCCCCCACAGTGAATAATAATGATATCTGGGGCTTTGTTACTAACTAATAAAAACGTAGGGTTTAATTGCTCCCACACCATTCCGCGAATTCCATGCCACAATATTTTTGCTTGGCCTAATCCCAGGTCCGGTTGATTGGATTTGACTGCATAGCTATGTGCCCAATGTACAATGGAAGATCCTATAATCCTAATGTCCACTGTAGAAATGAATGCAGGTAAATAAATCAAACTTTAACAGTTACCCATCTATAAACCTATACATTTGTATCTTAGCATTTAAAGGACGAATGTATGATTTGTATGCTGTCGATTTCCATCTACCCATTTGTTGAATTTTCCCCTCAGACAACCCTTCCAAATATAAATGAGTAGCACCCCCCATGCGAAATGAGTATGTTATGTAATTTGAAGTTTTAATATCTAGAAATTTTAAGGATTTATGTAACATGCACCAAACTGAAACTGTGTCAATGGCTTCGAGTTAAAATGGGCAAAATATGCCTCCCTATCAATTTTACTAGACAGCAGGGAAAACTCTTTCAATAAATTTACTAGCAGTATCCTTTCTGAAATGTAAGGCACCCAAACTGAAGCCCCAGAACCTAGTTTTAGAACTTTTTATAAATACAGATATGCCACTCTCTAAAATCTTAATACCATCCTTTCTTAGATCTATGACTTCACTTACTCTCAACAATGCAAAGAATGCTCAGGTAAAAGATGACTGAAATAAAAGTGCTTCATATGTTGAGAAGGCCAAATGTGGAATTGCACTTATTAATCTGTGCAACAATGCTAATGTGATAGGTCTACGCATATCACAAGATAAAGATGACTTTTTGTACCCTGCCAACAATTTCTTCACCATAAAAGACTGCAACGGATTTTTCCAACCATTTAAGTACTATTCCACGTAAGAATCAGGCAGGGGGCGGCACATGAAGGGTTTCCATTTTTTTTTAAACTTCGCATGCTGGTAGAGTATGCTTAGTAACTTCCTAAAATAAAATATTTTTTATCAAATCAGTGTCTGGTTTCCATGGCAACAGAAACACTGTTTGCAGCATATTATGGCTGAAATTTCCTCTAAAAATTTGTAAAATTGCCAATATTCAAGTTGAAATAAAAAGAAAATCAGAAAAGAAATCACAATTATATTTATTGCTCATTCAAATACAGCTCAACTAGTTACTTGTCACAATAAATCAAAATATTTTTATGTCCAGTAAGATGTTTTAATTTTACACTGAAAAGGGGAGATAATTCAAATTTGCAAAAACTTGAAAATATCAATTTTTTGAGGATTTTCGTCTATTAAAAAATATAAAAACCCAACAGCCAAATCAAAAGACTGTGCTATTTTCATAGACATCATACCCTGTGGCTAATAAAAGTATAAAAACATTTTTGTGCAAATTATTATTAATATCCGAAAATTATGGATGAGTTTCATACAAAAAAAGAGCAATTTCACTATTTTTGTCAAAGTCCAGTATATGCCATAGATGTATACAAGTGAAATGAATATGACATTTCAAAACAATTTCTTTTTATTTTCAACTCAAAACACAACAACACACGTAACTTTTCACAATTAATCAAAATATTTCCATGTCCAGGAAAAATTTCTAATTTTTCACTGAAAAAGGAAGATAATCCAAATTTACAAAAAAAAAAAAAACATGAAAATACCGATTTTTTGAGGATTTTCAGCTTTGAAAAAAATATAAGAACTGAACATCCAACTCAAAAGGCTATGTTATTTTCATAGACATCATACCCTATGGTTTATAAAAGAATAAAACATTTTTGTGTAAATTATTATTAATATCTGAAAAATATGGGTAAGTTTCTAACAAAAAAGAGCAATTTCACTATTTTTGTAAAAGTCCAGAATATGCCGTAGATGCGTGCATGTAAAATTAATTTGATATTTCAAAACAATTTTTTTTTAATTTGCAATTTCAAATACAGTACAACTATTTGCTTTTTACAATTAATCACTATAATATTTTGAAATCCAGTGTTCTAATTTTTAACATATATAATTTGTAAATTATGTTCTAATTTAACTGGAAAGGGATAATCCCAAAGTGCTAAAACATGAAAATGTTAAATATCTCAGGCTGTTTTTGAGGTCAGAGAATAATGTACTCTTCAGGTAAATAAATCATTGAACTAACTTAATTGTATAATATACAACTTGTTTTTTATTTATACACAGATAATTATTTTTTGTTATCCTTTTTGTTATACATTTCCATCCACACCAAAAACACAATAACTAGTAAATATTCACAATTTAAGTGATATTTTTCATACATGATCCTATCATTACCAAGTCATCTGCTTGTTTGCCATTCAAATTGATCTTATACCCAAATGATTTCATATTCAAAAAATCTAAACATAGGTGAATTCATGAAAAATAAATGTTTTAAATAGTTTTAAACCTCGGTATTTGGCAATCATGTTACACAGAATATCACAAGTCAACCCAGGTTTTCTTTTGTAGTCAACGACTGCCCTTTGTTTAGTAGTTTCTTATACTGAAACATAAACATGATAAAACTGTAGTCTTAAGTGTTTATAGATTCATGGAAGATGAAAGTCACTGCCTCATTAATTTTATCAAAAGTGTTGAACTCTTTCTCTGAACTCCAGTCTTTGTTTTGTGACAGCTGTGATGATTTCATTTCCTGAGATTTCTGAAATGATAAGTTAATCAATTATCACCAAAGAATTGATATAAAGGTAGTAAAGGTTAAATTTTAAATACACATACCATTTCTTCAATCAAAATTGAAGTTTAAAATAGTCAGTATTCATTTTATTATGGGACTGATATTCAGCTTGCAAAGCTTTGTCACATCTGAATCAATTAAGAACAAAGAAAAACTATTTTAAATAGAAATGATGAAACCTGTTTGACTTATCGGGTCACAGCAAATATACATTCAAACATACATATAAACAGACCTGCATGACCAAGTAATGCTTTTCTCTACAATTAAGTACTTTAGTAATACTTGAAAACAATTCATTAAAAAACTGCTTGAGTTATCGTTTCATACATGCATGTAGCAAAGGTGTCAATGGATACATACAGACAAACAGACTAAGTGACGTGACCCCAAAATGCATAGGTGTTTTTCTCTTACAGTAAAGAGCTTCTGTATAAATTTAAAAAATGTTATGTTAACCAGAAGTCTCTGATGAGACTGTAGCTCTACTGGTCTGTATGCATAACAAAGGAAAAGTAGCACTTGGATTTGAAACTTTGCAACATGCAGCAATAAATAGAATTATGTATCTTAATGTAGTCTACTTATGTACCAAGTCATATTGAAATCAAACAAAACTGTAGGAGTAGCATTTTGAAAGTATTTAACAGAAACTTCTATTTTCAGTAACCATGGTAACACCATTCATCGAAATCCAAAACCATATGCACTAAATTATGTATCTTAGTCTACTTTTGAGCCAAGTTATATATTGAAATCAGACCAAAACTGTAGGAGGAGTAGCGTTTTGAAGGAATTTTACAAAAATTTCTATTTTCAGTGACCATGGCAACACCGTTCATCAAAATAAAAAAAAAACAATGCACTTAATTATGTATCTTAGTGTAGTCTACTCGTGTGCCAAGTTATACTGAAATCAGACCAAAACTGTAGGAGGAGTAGCAATTTGAAAAATTGTTTACAATTTGACAGACAGACAGGCAGACAGATGGACAACGGACACCTTACTATCGCATAAGCTCTTCTGGTTTCTGACCAGTAGAGCTAAAAACTGAGTTATTGCATCACAACAAAAGTGTCAATGAAAATACTTTTGGACATACATGCAGACAGACAAACAAAGTGAAATAACCCTTGAATGTGTTTTTGTTTTCTTACAATAAAGAAATTCAACAACAAAAGTTATGACAAACTGACAGATGGATGTACAATGTGATTTCTACGATGCTCTCTCCTTTTTAATTCCCTTCGCATATGCCATTCTTGGTGCCCAGTTTATTTAAATTGGTGCAGATGTTCTGGAGAATAATAAGGAATGTGAAAAGCTTACAGGGAGATAGGAAGATGGATAGACAATGAATAACAAGTGATTTGATAAGCATGAGCTTTTAGCTCAGGTGAGGAAAATTCTGTTGGTTAAGACCATTCCAAGTTTTTTCTATGTTTAGCGTCTGCGTGAGCCTTGGTTTTTTGACACCCCATATCACAAAAAACAAACAAAATCAGGAGTCCTGAAATTGTTTGTTCTGGTCAAAATCACTGAATTCTGTCAATTTCTCAAAGTATTTGTCTACAAAATGTCATATTTTGAATATTGTAAGCATTTAATACCTTGATTTTGCTGAAGAATAGATATTTCTATGAGAAAAAAAGATTAATGGAATCAATCCTTTGAAAAGTGTCATTTTTATGACTATGAAGTCTTGTGCTTTATTTTCTGGTTTGTGTGTTTTTTGCGAATAGGTAGGTAGGTATTTGAAAGATGGGTGGACGCTAAACACAGAAAAAACTTGGAATGGCCTAATGAGAAAAAGATTTTTCAGACTTCACCCTATTTTCTTCCCCTTTGAATAGCTCAAGGTCAAAATAAAGGTCAAGGTAAAAAATGAAGTTGAATGGCTTACATCAATTATGTATCAGCATAGTAAGTTTAATTAAAAATGTCTTGAACATATTGAATGGTTTCATTGACACTTAAAATAAATTTAAGAAAAGTGAAGTCTGCAAGTTCAAAGGTAAGGAAAGGGCAATGTAAAAAATATTGATGAAGTTGAATAGCTCTCACCAATATGCATCAGCATTTAAGCTTTCGTAAAAATATCTTGAATAGTTTCTATGAAACTGAGCTCAACACTATTTAAAGGAATGTGAAGTTAAGGTCAAGGTATAAATATGTTGATGCAGTTGAACTGAAATTTACTGAATATATCTATATGTTTCAGCATATGAAGTTTGATAAAAATATCTTAAAGGTTTTTTTTGAAACTGAACTAAACACTTATTTAAGAAGTGAGGTCAATGTTAAAGCAAAGGTCAAGGTCAAAAAAATGGTGATGCAGTTGAATAGCTTTTATCAATAATTCAATATATATGCATCAGTATATGAAGTTTTATAAAAATATCTTGAATAGTTTCTTTCAAACTGAGATAAACACAAAATGTTATGGAAGGACAGACTGAAGGATGGAAGATGGACATGACAAACACTATATGCTATATCTATTAAGGCTATATTCATGGCAGGACATAAAAACAGGTACATGTAAAAACAATAATTTAATTAAATACATCAATTTAACAACCCTGATTCTAATGAATAAGATACTGTAAACCAACTTTTATTCGCGTGCGAGAAATATTCGTGAGTTTCGCTGCATACTTTAACTCGCGAATATTTCTCGCCGCGAACCATTCATTTTGCTTTGTATTTGTAGAGAATGTTTCCTCATTCGCGAAAATTAATCGTCGCAGGTTGATTTCAATCCGACGAATCGCGAATAAAAGTTGATGCAAACAATAGTTGGTTTACAGTATACAAACCACATTAGACTGTTTCAAAGAAACTAGCTTGATAAAAACCTTAGTAATGTCAGTAAAATGTAAGTCAGCAATAACCGGTTCTGAATTTTTAGTATACATGTATATCTATTTATATTCTATCATTAATTATTGAAATTTTTAAAGAAAAAAAAAGTTAAAAGCATTTCTTCCGAACAAAATATCTTTATCGTGTTTAATTGTTTACAACCTGTTACAATTTGATATCACAGTTATATGTTGTTTTTTTTTTCTGTCCATGCTTAGGTCAGTCATTTTCAATGGCCATCTTTAAATGGCTAAAGAACACAAAACATTGTGGCTGGCGGTGATGGTGGTGGTGTGTGTGTGTGGGGGGGGGGGGGGAGTGTAGTTAAATGTGATGCTGGCTGGCCAAATTTTGACATTAGTGCTGATGAAAAATTTTGGGGTGCTGTTATTTTATATACATATTTGTTTTTTTTTTTAACCAATTATATCCCACTGAATGTTCATACTAATGTACAAATGCCATATGTACTGTTTGAGTATAATTAAAACAGAGGGCCTTATATTTTAGCAGCTTTGGTGTGGACAGTTTAGGCACATGTGCAGTGTCTCTGCATACAAAACAGACTGACCCTTACCACTGAAATGTTTTGACATCTTCTAGTTCAGGTCAACTGAGGCAATGACTATGAGATACAAACTCTTCTGTTTCAGTCACTTGGTTATCAGCTGGTTATACATTGAGTACACCTGGAATTTTAAAAGAGAAAAGTTTAAGACACTAAATTAAAAATAAAAAATAAAACCTATGAAATTTATTACTTTTAACATATTTAATAAATGATGTATGCTTCTTCATTTTTATACTAGATTACTATAACTTATTAAACTGAACTGCATGTACAAATACTAAAAAACATTCCCCTCAAATCCCTTTAATCTGGCCAAGTTTTACAATGATTGTATATAAGAACAATTACTAAGCTTTTGACGTCACATTTTAAATTACACATCATAAACTGGCCACCCCAATAAATATAATTTACTGTTTAACAGATAATTTAACTGTAATAAATAATCTTTTATAACTGTCAATTTACCCTGCTTATTAAATCTCACCTCTTTCAAAACTACATTACTTCCCCTTTCCAAGTTGAGTAAGCGGACACATTCGGACGGTCATCCCTGTCTGGGGGCTCACTTTTGGATTTTGGTGGATGACCTTGCAAGATTAACTTCCGACATTGACCATACTGATATCAGTATGAACACATTGGCATTACCTTGATCATCACGAGGACAGTAATTCCATAGTCATTTTATACACAAGTTGCTGATACAACCTCACCGTCACCGTCTCTCTTAACAGATTATTCACTTCGTTTACACGTGCACGTATGTACGATTCTGTTCTTGTGCAGTCCTTTAGTGCAATTCATGTCAATTCACTCAGATATTTCCAATGCATAACGCACGTTGCTCCAAAACAACTTTGCCAAGCAGCCTGCCATGGAGGCTGCCATTGTTCTTTTTACTAGCGCCACCTATATAAGCTTCCTAAGGGAGATAACTCTTACCATGAATTGTAGCGAATTCCATGATTTAGTAACCCTTTATCTTTCCAGTCATTCATTTGCACAAAAATATTAAAGTACTTTTTCTTTCCATATTCCATCATTATTGTAATCATGTATTTAGTTTTCCCAAATCCTCTTGGGTTTTAAGGAAATTATTTCATGATATATGCACCATTTACATACAATTTATACACAACACCCCTCTTGAGAAACTTATCCCCGGCTGTGTGATGAAAGGAGAATTATAGCAAAATCATTAGTCATCATTCATTTTAGACCCAAATGAATACATTAAACACAGTTTTAATGAATTCGCAGATTTTCACTGAACCGCCTAATTAGTGCTACCTGCCTGATTCTTACCCCTTACCAAACTGTTATGTTTGCTGCAGACCTGCAGCAAGTCTGCTGCAAGTTTGCAGCAAACAAAATTGTTCGCAGGAAGAAAATTTTCTTGTTCACAGATGATTGCCGCTAGCTGCGATCTTGCGGCAAACATTGCAGCAATTGCTGTAAGCTTGCAGCAAATTCGCAGGAACTCAACATGTTTGCAGGAACATTGCAAGAAACATACACGCCAATCTGTTGTTCGCAGCAAGTTCGCAGGAAACATTTAACAAATTGAATGTTTGCAGGAAGTTTGCAAGAACAGTAAACAAGTCGAATCAGCCAATGAAATGCAGATATTATACTGGGGTCAACACAGAATTCGCCATTTTGAAATGTTTGAATTGAAGTAGATGTTTCAGTATTTTGTTAGGAATATATACCATTTTGAATGATTACAAAAGCATAATTCTGGATGTAGGTGTACACTGGCATACACAACATCTAATTGGTAAGATCTGATTTTGTTTGATTTTGATATGAAACAATTATCTCTTTAAAACATACATGTTTAAGTAACTGATGTACTTGCTAGGTCAAATCTTAATCTATTTAAGAGTTTTAATCTTTAATTATTTTACATTTGTATGTTTCTTTAAATGTATTAAAGGTTCCAAATCAACTATTATAAATGTTTATAAATATGTTTTCAAATAAATTGGTATTAACCGTAAAATTTTATTGTTAAAGTAATGTGCAAAGGTTTTTAATTTTCTGTACATGTCAAAAGAAATCATATTAAATTTTTATTAAGAATAGTATGTCAACATTGTCTAGGAACAAAGAGAGAGACTATCAACACTTCAGAAACTAGCTTGCATCATTTCAGACACATGTGGTGGATTTTCTCTATAATGAACAGATAAAGGTCAGGACAAAGGCTCTCTAGCTGCGAACTTGCTGCATGTACGCAGGAATGTGCCAAAACAATAATTATATTCCTTGTCAAAAGTTAGCGGCAATGTTTGCTGCAAGCTTGCAGCAATGTTTGCCGCAAGCTTGCAGCAATGTTTCCATATTGGGAAAATCCAGTGTTTGCTGCAGACTTGCAGCAAACCTCATTTGCATGGTAAAATGTTTGCTGCAAGCTTGCTGCATACTTGCCGCAAACTTGCTGCAAACACAAAGGCTTTGTATAGACTGCCATGGTTTCTTTAGCTTCATTGCAGCAAGCTTGCAGCAATGTCTGCAGCAAGTTTGCAGCAATGTTTGCTGCAGACTTGCAGCAAATGTTTGCAGGAAGGCAATATTTTTGGTAAGGGACGTGGAGTAGTACTTAAATTAACTAAAAAACTTATCCCTGACATGTAACATTTGACTGTAGAAAACGAACATCCCTCCTCAGACAAATTAGCTATGAAATTTAAAATATGGTCAAGAGGTGGAGGCCAGGTTTGCTGAAATTCACATTTGACTCTAAAATTATAAAAACTCTGTAGTCCTTGTTTATAAACTTTACCACTATTTTCTGATATTTTAGCTTGCAAAAGTTTGTTTATCGTTTCTCCATAATTTCCCAAAATTGCTTTGGTACCGTAGAGGGATACTGATCTGCCGAAGGGGCTAGCTGCCTGAACCTGGACCACTGAAATCGAGAAATTGCATCAGCAACATTATTCTTCACACCCTTGATATGCTGCGCTTTAATTTGAATATTAAATTGAAGAGTTTTCAGGACTAAGAAACGAAGCAACACCATGATTTTTTTTTTTTTTTTTTTTTTTTTTTTTTTGATGTTTTTTGATTGATAATCTGCACTAACGCCATATTGTCTACATGAAGCAGTAGTTTCAGGTTTTTAAGTGTAGATGACCAAATACTAATCCCTAATACTATGGGGACAAGCTCCAATAATGTTATATCCCTAATTATGTCTGAAGACCAGTATGTAGGCCAGGATAAACAAGACCAATGATTTCCAAAACCTACCCCACAGCCATATGCTCCTGAACTATCAGTAAAAAATTCTAAAAAATCACTGTCATGCCAATGTTGAGAAGGAAAGGGCGTGGTACCATTAAATTGGAGCAAAAATTGAACCCACATTTGGAGGTCCATTTTTATTTCGTTTGTTATTCTTATGAAATGAAATGTTTTTTAACTCCCTCCATAGCCCCATAGATCCTACAAGAAAAAGTCCTTCCTGCTGGTTGCCTTAACTACAAATGCCAATGCTCCTACAAGAGATTGCAACTGCTTGAGTGTTACCTTTTTACGATTTAAAATATTTTGTATTTTTGACAATAATTCCCTTATTTTGTCATCTGGAATAAAAATTGTTTGAGATAAAGTGTCAATGCCTAATCCCAAAAAACAAATACAAGTATTTGGACCCTCAGTTTTCTCTACAGCTACATGTAATGGAACACCCAGCCCTTGACACAATTCTTGAAAGCATTGCATTAACATTTGACATTCATCTGTGGATTTCTTTCCAACAAATAAAAAATCATCTAAATAGTGAACTATACTCTCAATATTTGATCTATGCTGCACTTCCCAGTGAAGGAAAGTTGAAAAATTTTCAAACAATGAGCAAGATATTGAACAGCCCATGGGCAAACATTTGTCTATGTAGTACGAGTCTAAAATTTTGAAACCTAATAAACAAAAATCTTGAGGACTTATAGGTAACAACCTAAATGCATTTGAAATGTCCATTTTTGCCATTAGCGCCCCCTCACCTTTGGCCGAAATGACTTTTAATGCATTATCAAAAGTTGAATAATTGACAGAACAGATAATAAAGTCAAAAATAAATATTTAATTAATGTTTGAAATATGTGTCACGTAACACATGACAGACATATAACGTAATATGACAGACGTATGATAAAATGTGACATGATTAAATTACATTTCTGATGCTTAGCAATACAAATGATCTGTAAAAAATAGAATTAAACAATTCCTTAAACAATGATTTTTTTTTTTCACTCTTACGTAGAAGAAAGAAGATTTTTAAGCTACTTTTGATGCAGAAACCGATGATCGTAACACTGACAGATTCCTTTACTTAGCCAGCCAAATAAACCATAAACTTTCATTATTTTATCAAAAAGATAATGTTGTCGTAAGAAATGGACATTATTCAAATTTTGATTCCTTATAGATTTTAAATTTGAATTTTTAAAAAATAAATCTCTGCTATACGCTTTGTAACATACAAAATTTCCACCATTTCTGTCATGTTACGATATTCCTTGAGCAATACCTGTTTGAAACGAGCCAATAGAATTTATCATTCGGAGCTTATCTTTTATTCTTGGAAATTATAATACACAAAAAATTATTATTTATGAAAATCCTAATGAAATTTAAAAAAAAAAATAATTATTTCATATCGATCAAACCTATATCGTAACATGTACGGATGCACGTAACCCTGACAGACTCGTTTTAAAAACTGCAAGAAAACAACTACAAAATTGTATTGTTCAAGTTATAAAGACAAATTTTGCCTTATGATACACTAATATTCTTAAATAAAAATACTTTTTGGTTTAATTCACTGAACGTATAAATCTGAATGCACCCGTTTGGTTCACGTATCATGAACAGACGTTCGTTTTGTCCGTCACCGTTACGATAGTATTCAGGCAATGTCTGTCAATCGGTACGTTATGTAAGAAATGTCAAATTTCAAGTGTTTATGTAGTGATGAAGAGCGTGTAAGTTCATTTTTTTTAAAATCCAAATTACACCTACTAGCTGACAATATTTGATGATATGATTATGTGTTTAAAATCTAGGATAAAGACAACTTATATTTTCATGAAAGTAACATACTTTCTGTAACGTAACACTTGAAATACAAACGTTTGTGGCTTCTGGGGCTCTCTCTGTAGCTCTTCGTATCGAAATGTAAACACATTTGCATAGAACACTGAAGAAAATTTAAATATTCATAACCTTTAAGTCAAATGTATAAGAAGAAGCATATTCGAGCTCCATTCTTAAAATAAAACGTAACGCCCACTTGCAATGACAGACACAGGAAGCATCCCACAGATTTGTTAATTTCAAAGCACACGTGCTTTTCTGTTGAATCTGCGAACACTTACATGATAAACAGGTAAATTTTCTATCAGTAGACAAGAAAGATAAAATAGTTTGCATAAACAATGGCCCATTTTATAACAATGTACCCGGTGTATTGAGTCTGACAGACGTTACGTTCAAAATATGAGAAGAAATAAATTCCAAATTTTCTTTTATTTGAGACATAATGTGCTTTAAAATACTTTTGTATGTTAGTTTTATCCTTCCTAAACAGTAGTGAATGAAGATATTCTGTGTACAATGTATTATCGCCGTATATTTGTCTTTTATTTTGACATGGTTGAAAATGTCCCCCCCCCCCTACAAATGCGTAATTCTAGTGGAATTATCAAATTCATTTCAAGAAAAAAAGTAAGTTGATGAAAAAATCTGTTTATTTTATCTTTTTTATTTATTTGCAATATACTTTTCAATATAA